TTTTTTCTCATTAACTGATGAATTCAGCCGCCGAACCTCAACAACAACTTCTGGACTTTTCTTCGTCCGCTGGCGGAAATCGTGCGCAACTAGGTGGTGTAGCGCATTCATTTAGTTCCGGACCGTCTATAAAATACGCAGACCAGATTACGGTAGATCTGAACGCTGATGCAAATAGGTCAGAGTTAACTCACAGTCTACATGTGTTGATACGATATAGTTTTCCAACGACATACTTTTCCTTAAGCAAACCTGTGGAGGAAGCCAAGGTGGTACCTACATGGCTCCAAGATGATGCGATCGGTGGTAGTGAGCAGGATCCGTCAATACAGGATACTACTGCGGTTGGAACTGAAAAGTATGAATTTATAGGTGTGAATGGCACCGTTGATATTCCTTCGATAACATTTTTAGTTTATTTATTCAGTTTTTCTGTCCTAAAAATCAGTTTGTTTAATATGCCTGGAAAGGAAATTTCAATTCCTTTTTTAGCGCCAGTGCTATGCCACACACATCGTCATCTATATCGTTGAGCCTAATGGCAGAATTAGAGGGTGTCACAGATGAGCCTCCTGCGAAGAAGCAACGTTCTAGCGAAGGTGACAATGGAGCTGAAAATGGTGAAGCAAAGGCAGAAGAGGAGGAAGAGGAGGATGAAGAAGAAGAGATGGTTTCCGTGGCGGGAAAGATGGTGGGTTTTTCTCAGTGAAAGTTTTGAATAGCGTGTTATACAAGCAATCACTGCAAGCTTATTCTCCTTTTTCAACCTTCTTTGTAGCAATGAACGAATTGGTGCTGCGAGAGCTCTGTTATTTAGGTGCCACTGAGCGAAGTGACATCAGAAATGGTGGCAGAAATGACGGAAGAAGAACAAAGCCGGTATGCTGCAATTATGCAGGAGAACTTGTATTATTGATTGATCTCATTATTTTCAACTACTTGTTGTGATATTCCATTTGTCGTTACGTTATTTTCGCCTTGGTGTAAATTGCGATGCAGTAAGCTAAGTGGCTTTCAATCGAATCGGGGAGGAAGTAAAGGTTTATCCTGTGTTGTTTAGACTTTTCAAACCATTCATCCACTCTCACATGTTGTTATCTTTATTGTTATTGTTTATCACTTGAGTCCACCGATAAAATGTTGTTGTTTGCTTCTGAATAAAACACACATGCAATTATTATATACAAAGCAATTGATAGCCATATTAGTCATCTATCGAGCAAGAGTTTTTCTTACTAAGAGAGCTGACAAAATAAACAAGATCATAATAGGAATTTCGCAGATGCTGGCATGCTGCAGGAATCGAGACAACGTAATTGAGCGTGTCGATCGGGGAGCAACAGATCGCAGTCCATAATGCAATTATTTTCCGCCTGAAGAAAAATAATAAATTTACAACGACTTAACAGAACGATATTCATAAGGTGGTTAGAACAATTACGCCTTTAATTCAAACTTTGTGAAAAAAAGATGCTCTTATCACTTCTGTGAGCTAAGGATAGAATTATGCTTGGGCAAGGTCAAATTAGCAGCTTAGGGCGGCGCAAGCTTACCTAATAAAATTTCCATACTGTTTACCTACACAAAGATTCTGCATTAATTTTCTGCATATCAACGGGATGTACGGGCGATTCCTTGACTTGCAGTAAAGTCATGCATAGTCAGTTCCTCTGGAGTTGACCTGCAACTGCTTGGCAAACGAGCGTTGATTGCTGTACTCGGAATGATCAAAGCGAAGAGCTGTGGCAAAGAGCAGCAATCAGCACCTTTCCGTGGCATCAACTCCAGAAGAACACCTATGCACCGCAATTTAAAGGCGTCAGCTCTGCGCCACAGCCCTGCTTTTAGCTATTTTTAGAAGTTATTACTAAAACAAATTACATTTCTCTTTAGTCAAAGGCGGTGTCCGCCGGAATTATGGAATCCCAGTTCTTACTGGATCCAATCAGTCTTTTAGTGCCAAATATGAACTACTAATTTCCAGTGATGAGATTGAAAAACCTTTAGTTCTACGAACCTCCTTCATCAACCATGCTAACAGGATTCCTTCACACGTGCGATGTCTATGGCTTTCGTCAGCACTTCTCGGGAAATCGCCACGTCAACCCAAACCCCCCAAATTTTATCTACTTGGCATTTTTAGACGCGCTCAAAAGAAAGCAGTAAGGTAGGAGGACTTACAGCGTCATTGAGAGATAGGTATTCTTTTAACCATAACAATGACGACAATTGTGGGATAGTTGTTGGTTACTTTTAGCTTATTTTTGTACCCATTCTCACCACAAGATAAACAACCATGTGTTTTTATATCGTTAGAATTAGTGAGCCGTTGTGATAGTTAGTGTGTTATAATTGCTAAACACAGCATCTGATCTCTATTCTTTTGTTCAATCCATAATTGAGGAAGCGCCATTTGTTAACTCAACTTTTTTAAAGATAGGGATGAGAAATATTCGATTAAAAACATCCCAAGTCTTTTGCCTGTATAAAAACGGTTAGTGTTTAGTAGTCATGATACGGGAATACCACTGATTAACCATCTCGCAAAACTGCGAAGTCTTTAAATGTTTTGAGGTATAAGCACTAATCCGTCTTACAGGTTGTTTTTTGATATTTTGGAAGTGTGTTTTGTTTTTGCTTATATTGCTATTGTTTTACATCACATGGGTATATTTTGAGCATATCACAACAAACAGTGATTTTTACAACATGACCATGTGCAAGTCTTATTCATGATGTCATTGCATAGCGTGACTTGTCATGTAATAATTAATAGCAAAGAAGAAGTATTTATGTAAGTTTTGGAAGTTTTGCAAATAAATCTACTTTCATAGAAGATTTTTTCGACAGGACTTTTGGGTGGGTACATAAACGACCAGCTCAAATTTCGGAAATGCTCTCTACCAACAGTTATTTCCCATAAGTGATCTCAAAACGAATACAAATATATATATATATA